GATCTTCAGTCTGACGCTCTCCCAACTGAGCTATCCCGGCGATACTGATCTACCTCAAGGCCTGGTACAACCTGAAGCATATATTACTTCCCTTAAAAAAATATATTATTAACTGCTTTCATGGTGATAATAACAAGTCCCGTTCTTTCTTCATTTCAAATGTAATAGTTTTCAATGATGAGTGGAAAAAGGAAAAAAAGAGATTGCCGTGACCCGGGATCGAACCAGGGACCTTCAGATCTTCAGTCTGACGCTCTCCCAACTGAGCTATCCCGGCATAACAGGTTTATTTTAATCACTATTTTAATCTAGATTTTACGTTTCTTTTTCTTTAAAAAAAGGAACATTAATTGCTCTTCATAAAGATAGGCAAGGATAATGAGTGCAGTTACTTGCTCATTTTTTAAGTGAAAGTTTTCACAGTAGAAACAGTTATGAACAATAATAAGAATCTTTTTGCGAGTATCATTTTTAATCTTTCTCTAGCTCTTTCAAGATCGGCTTAATTCTTAAAAAAGAAATATTCACTGTATATATATATATATAGATGGATGCGTGGGAGAATTGCAAAGGGATTTATAGAGTACATGTGAACACGAAGGATAAGTCCCACAACAGTATAAACAGAAGAGCAAGTAAAAATAAATAGATGTACGTCATATTTGTTATGTGTGTCATAATCATAGTGAAAAAAGAGTATCACGTTATAACAAAATCAACACTCTCATATATGATTCTCTTTTCAAACTGAAATAAAAATATATAAACTTAATTAAAGCACAGAGGTAGTGTAATTTTATAATATAGTTAAATTTAAATGAAAATCCAGTTAATATCCAATCGCTTGAAGATAAACACTTCCTGAAGTTCACCATACTTTTTTCATTCGGTGAAAACTGTGTATATGTATGTTATACTGATTTAATCAATAGAATAAGTAGGTTGTGAAAATGACAAACTTGATAGAGAATAGTTCTGGAAGACATGCAAAAATAACTAGATAGAAAGGGAATAGACCATTCATAACAAAACAAGAGATATCACCAAATTTGTTCGAAACACTCGATATACTGTAAAATTCATATTTATTCTTGTCGATAGAAGAATCTTCACTTCGACTAGAAGATAACTATTTTCGAATCAAGATTGAAAAGTGTTCAGACAGACTATGAATGATATTTTTAATAAATTATGACAAAAAATATAGAGAACGAGAGTGTCATCTATCTCGACAATTAGAGAAATATTTGAGAAGAGCAAAAATTAAAAACATCTTAAATTTGGTTTACTATCTGAATGACTTTTCAGACTCATCTTTGTTATTATCATTTAGAAGAAATTCTTCAAATTTATCAGTAAGTCACAAGTTTTTTTTCTATACATTTAAATTTATTAATGTTTTTTGACTATTGAACAAATGTAAATTTTTCTAAGATTCTTCTATTTTTGTCTATCTAAACAAAGATTATGTCATTTTCCTCTTATGTATATTCTTGTACTTTAATTATTTGTAATTATATACTAATGACTTTTTTCATTATTTATTTAATATGAACTAAGAGAAGAAATTTATGAGAATATCATGCGAGTGTATGCTTGAGTGTTTTGTTGCTATATTATTTAATTGAAACAACTATTTATTAAAATATATATTATGGAGAAAAAGTTAGTTACAATATTATTATCATTTAGTTAAACTATTACAATTTTTCAAATATTTATTAATGATAAAATGATTATTTTTCTTCTAAGATTTGAATATGAATATTACCAGTAGTAACAATATAAAAAATTCCATAATAAAAAGTATTTTTCAAGGCTTGTTTTTATATTTTATATGGTTGTGTAATAAATATTTTTCAACTAATTTAATTTATTTTAGAACTACAGTGTTTATAATGTCATTAAGTACTGCTCTGTCAATAATTCAAACACAAATAAATCGTTATTGTATTCCAATAATTTTATCATTTGGTATAACTGGTTCATTACTTAATATTTTACTTTTCTCACGTAGAGAATTCCGTAATATTTCCTGTTGTATATGTAAGTATATTTTAAAATCATAGAGAAACATGTGCAAAATATATTTTCTTTACAACGGAAAATTCGATTAATTTGAATAGATTTAAAAAGAAAAGACCTGTCAATGTTCATAAATTTTCCTAAACACAGTATCATGTCGTTTTTTCAACATGGATTATTTTCTGGATATAAGTATAATCGAAATAATTTTATTTTTAAATTTAAATTTAAACTGATGAAAATATAATTAGAATTTTGTTTTAAATAGATTTTCTATCAGCATCTGTCGGAATGCTTATTGCGATGTGTTTTGGCTTAATGCCACGTGTCTATTCTGTATATTATCCTGATCCTATCAATACAATAAACGCATTTTGTAAAACCCGTATCTATTTTGGTCAATGTAGTGCATTGATATATCGTTGGTTGTTGACAATGGCTTGTATAGATCGATATACTTCATCAACAACAAATGCTCGTATACGATGGTTTGCCAATGTACGTATTGCTTATCGTGTTGTATTAATTACTACAATGATTTTAATTCTATTCTCTATACATAATTTATTTTATCGTACAATTAATAAAGATTTATGTATTTTATCTTCTGTTGGTTCGATAGTTTACAATACTATTTATGTAACTACACTCGGTGGTGTTATTCCACCATTAATTATGATTATATGTGCTGTACTTATTAGAAATAATCTACGAAATAAACGAGAACGTCGTCGAACAAATGCTCCATTAGGAAATGAAGATCCATCAGTTCGTATACTTCAAATACGTGATCAACAAACACTTGTTATGTTATTTGTACAAATTATTTTTTATATTTTATTAATGTTACCTTGGACAATATTCATAGTTTATAGTGCTTTTACATCAAAAATAAAACATAAGACAAATAATCGAATAGTTATTGATTTATTTATTGAATATGCAACTGAAACTCTTGGTTATGCATATTCAACATTGTCATTCTATTTATATACATTAACTTCGCATACATTTCGTCAAAAATTATTAAAGATTATATATTCAATCTTAAAATATGTAAATCGATGTTATATTCATCCTCAACGTATTCAACCAAATTAAACAATTTTAATCTACAAAAGTCAATTAAGATTTGAAAAAATTTACATAAATGAAATAAAATAGTAGCGATGATTGAATCAATTTTTATCAAAAACCAAACTGAAAGATTTTTAAATTTCTTTGTATCATTGTAAATATATATTTAAATGAATATGTATTGAAAACTTTACATTAAATTTTGTCTTGTTCGTTGAAATAAATTTCTTCTAAAAATTAGTTATTTCATATTGATATCTTAATTAACTTGTTCTCTTAGAAAATATTCTTAAATGATTTGATTTTAAAACTCCTCTACACATTTAGAAATCAGTTAGTTTTCTATGCAAAACTAAATCGACAAATTTTCGATAATGTTATTCTTTTTTTTATTTCTGTAAAATAAAATCATCTTGTTTATTTTTGTTTCATTATAATGTTCTAGTAACATTTAACATTAACATTAATTTGAAATTATATTGACAAGTCTATTGATCTCTATCCTGTTGGCAACATAAGACTTCAGTGAGAAAGAAAATCGAAGTTTGTTTTTTTTAAATTATTAGATTTGAAGTTTTTTTTCGAATAATATATATATATGTTGACTAATCTTGGCATTTTTTCTAATGAAAACAAAGCTTACTGAAATTGCATATTTGTTTGATCAAATAAAAAAACATCGATAATTTTAGTTGTTTTTAAATGCTATAAAACTTGTCTAGAAAATATTCTAAGCAATTTATTTCTTGTAATTTAATTGATGAAAGAATATTTTTTCCCATTTGATAAAATCTTAATCTATTTTATCTTTAGATTTGATATTATTTAGAAATCTAAATATAATGGGAAGTTGTTGTAGATCAAAGTTAAATGATGATTCTTATATTGATGAATCTTATAATAGAAGAATAAAATTACCTAATATTATAATAATACCACAAGATTCCGCTTTAATTTATCTCGATATGATATTAAGTCCATCATCTATTCGATTGAGAAATAGTTTAAAAGAAAAATTTCCTAATCTTATTACACGTGAAAGTGAAAAACGAATATTTAATGATATGGAAATGATTAATAAACGTAAATATTATATTATTATTATTGGAAATATTCATTATGAAACATTAAGATTAATGATAAAAAATTATAAAATCAAAGGAATTTATTTTTATTGGAATCAATCTAATCTCAATCATTATTTTAATTCAATTAAAATTAAAGGAGTTTTTCATAAACAGATTGAACTTAAAAAAGCTATTTATTATGATGTACGTTTTGATAAATTTTATTCAACGAATGTTTAACTATTATTATAGAAAATATTCTATTATTATAAATACAATTCAATAAAAAAGAAATAAAGTAAAATCGAACTGAAATATTTCGAATTTAAAAATAATGAATTGTGATAGAATCCATTTCTTTCCCATAAAAAATTAAATAAGAATTTGTTCTTACCTATGTTTTATAAAACGATAGAAGACATATATTTGTTATGCTTATTTTGTTCTTTTTAAATTTTAACCTTCTATTCTTGTTCTTTCATGCATTTTTGTTAGATATTATCCCAATGTTAAATAATGTGTTCAGAGTAATTTTAGTATAACGGAATAAATAATGTAATGTCATGTCATGTCTATCAATATCAATAATGAGAGAAATATTTTACCTTCATTTTATCAATGTAGTCAATCAAAGTTTAGACGATGAGACTCATAGAAAAATGTCATTGATTGTCTACTACTATTCATAATCAATTATAATTCCTTGAACATGTACCTTTAATATACCTATGACCCTATCGATAGATTCATGTCTTTTAAAATGAAAAATAGAATGGATTCAATTATTTTACAATACTTGTACTTTTTTATATAATTACAATCTTTACAAATAGTGTAAAGAAATTGAATAATTGAATATATTCATATGCATTATATGATGAAGAAAGAAGAAGAAAGTATATCATTGCATTACTACACAATCTATTATATGATTTATATATCAAATCTTTTGATGAAATCAAAGTAATAGAATCGTTCGATTTTACTGATTATTAGAAATGAAATATCTTCATTATTAAATCTAAAAACATCATGTTTATAGTCAAATGATTTGCCATATATGATTTAGTCGGCTATAAATATTTGCAGAATTATATAATTGAAATGAAAATATATTAATTATTATATATAGAATAGACTGTGCTCAGAATTCTAAGATAGTAATGATAATAAGATGTTTATTTTCGATGTGATTGAATAGCATTTTATCTTATTAAATATATTAGTAGAGAAAAGTAAAAATAGAGCAATGAAATGGACTATTCGAGATTTTTTTCAAAAACCTATTGGAAGGGATTAACTCAAAACTGAAGAATTTCAATATTAGAAAAATCAAAATGAAAAACCTTTCTATATGTCAGTTTTCGAATAAGTAATAAGTCAGTATAGTGAATTACGTCATCAATACTTTAGCGGAAAAAATATTATTCGAAAATTTTCATATTTCACAATTCGAATATATAATAAGCATGAAACTCGACGAATATACATCAACTTAAATCTAACTTAGCAATTGTTATTATGAAAATGAAAATATTCTCATTGAATTCTATACAATTTTAGACTAATTATCTAAAAACATCCAAAGTTTAAAGATTCGATTGTTACTGATGAATATCATTTCGTATAAATAGTTACGATTACAGAGCTAATATTATTGAAGTTCGATCTGTATCAATAGACGTCGCTGAATGTCTTTTTAAAATATTTTATTTAAAATAGTTTCAAATATAAAATCGAAAGTATATTAATTAATTATCAATTGATATTAGATAACGGTAATTATTTTCATTTTCATTGAATTATTTTATACGATGATGATGATAATAATGATTATGTAAGATACGGTTAATTGTGGTCACAACATTCATTCATATGTATATATAAATATATATGTATTATCATATGATGTCTAACGAAAAACGACATTGAATAGAACGCGAAGAAAAAAAGCTGAAGAATATAATTCTCTGCTTATGGTTTGCTTATTCATGCATGTATCTCTCTCTCTCTCTCTCTTTTTCTCTCTGTCGTTATTTAACATCGATTCATTTATATAAACATTTCATAAAATACGAAACAGCTGAGAAACTTAAACGGAGAAATTGAATTGTAAAAGTACGTTATTCTTTGTTATTTAAATAAATAATCGATATTTCAAAATTTCCTTTAGAATGAAATCTAGTATTTATTTATTAATATTATTTATCTTCAATGTTTCCACAGATAATTCTCCATCATTTTGTTTATGTGCATTAAAAAATGTTTTGAAAGATTATGCATTACTAACTACAGATAGAAATCCACCACGTTATTATTCATCGGATCCGAACGATATTGGTTTTTATATTGTTCCATCGAAGTGGAAACCAGTTAATAATGCAACATGGAGTGAACTTGGTGCAATGATAAATGCTCCATCCGGAATGTATACTTATATTAGTCTTGATGGTATTCATCCGTTAGATAATGGTTTAACTATGAATAGTTTTCGATCAGCATATTTAGCTGATATTCTTGCTGAATATCGTTTAATTACGGATAAAGTTGAAAGTTATCATGAAAATATGATTAAAAGTCGAACAGAAACATGTTCACAACAATCAAAGAAATCTGTTATTGGCTCTGATTTAAAAGATAAATGGGCACGATTTTTTGTACCTCCTGTTAATTAAATATTTTACATTGAAATTTATTAAAGTTTAAAACAATTTATATTTATATTTAATTAGATAACAATTATTTAACTTTTTTTTTTCTACTGTTTATGACTAATTATATTATATGTATTTTTTTTTCTGCAGTATCATTTAATGAATAAAAATTAATTTATTTAAAAAAAAATTTTCTTCTAAACAATTCATTTGACATTTCATAGACTTCGAAATTAATAATTAAAATAGAAACAATGATTATATTATCACTTTATTTCTTAGAGTGACAAATATAGAATCTCATAATTCTAAAAAACACAACATTTGTATCCGTTGTATTGGTACAGTTTCGTACAAAATGGTAATTTCTATCGTCAACATACAAATTATATAAATTCAAATGAGTTAAAGTTTTGTTTATTTAGACAACTATTAAATAAAAAGTTTGAACAATGGAAGGATGCACTGTTTATAATGACAATCTTTAAAATAGAATTAGAAGAATGAGAAATGGACTAAGAAATACAAATAAAATATCTATAATAAATTATAAAACAACGTTTCTATTCTGAACATTGTTAAAATCATTCAAAACGTCCAATTACAAAAATTGGAGTAATAATTTGTTGTAAGATAAAGAAAAGATTTTAGAATATCTACTTTTTCAATGTTAACACTAGACAAAATCTGTATTTCAATTGATTTGATTATCTATATGATTTGAATAATGCTTATGAAGTCCTGGGCGACAAATTGACACTCGGATTCTACTATAGAAATTTTGACATACTTCTAGTAATGTTCCTAGATACTAATTAGCATCCAATTAAGAAAATAGGGATCATCCGTCAGATTCAGTATCGGAATCATTAGTTGTGACTCAAATTTCATGTAACAGTTCAATTGTAGTTTGTTTCAGAATTATTTAAATAATCTATTTGACGTTTTGAAATATGTGATACACAATCAAACAATATATTATATTTGTTATCTTAGATTAATTGTACGTTTTTTGTGTGTAGAGTGAGACCGTATGACGATAAAGACTTTTCCTTCCACATACAATGATATGAATATACAAAAGGTATATACTTCACCAGTCGACGATTCTGTCTCATTTATTTTCAGATTCGTTTTGAGAAGAAAGAAAAAAGATTCTTACGAGAAGTTCAAGATAAAAAGAAACTTGACTGATTAACAAGAAATTCAAGAATCTGAAAAGATGAAAGGCAAGATGATCGACTAGTAATAATATTAAAACCCATAATTAAGTTAATATAAAATAATAATCCAAATATAAGATATAAAGAATGGATGTAGAACGGTTTTATTGAAAAGAATAAATTATCTTGAGAAAAAATGTAATTATTTTTAATAGTTTATTTATTTTGTTATTATTACATTTAATATTTCTATAATATTATATTTATTGAAAATAAAATATAAAACATCGTTTTTATATTATAGACTGGTTAATTATTTATATTTTGTTTTTCTTGTTTTGCTCTACTTTTTATCATAACATATTAAAATATTTTATACATATATTTTAATATTATTGACGATTTTTTTTCGTTCTGCGTCATGCTTATGCATAGGGATTAGCATCCAAAAAAAATCAAAGTTAATGCAATCACCATACCATAATTATATATCTGTATTTTTTCGTTTTCGTCTTTCTCTTTCGTTACGATGATATCATTCTGACATTTTATTTATTACTCTTCTGTGTTATTATTCTTAATACTTCTTTCTCATATATCTATGTTTTATAAAGTGTAGAGAAAAGAGAATATGTAAATGTGGGTGTAAAATCAAATCTGATCATTTTACTTGTTATTAGGTGTTCTGTCATTTATTTTTCTATTTTCATTAATTATAAATTTCTAAAGGTAAATTTATAATTATATCAATCATTGATCCGTATGATGAATCTTTATTAATATGATTGTGTTTTATTAGTTGTGCATGACTAGTCTTATTACAAAAACAGGTAAAGGTAGCTGTTACAAGCGTTAGAAATATTAACTGACAATATCAAGCAAGGTAACAACAATAAGAAAACGATTCTCATTCATGAGCAAAACAGCTCCATATAATGATGATAATAATAATTGTAAACGTCGTTCATCTCGTTTAGAATGGGTGGAATCATCTTGGACACGATTATTGTCTAT